TGCTATGAAGAAATGGAAGAAAGAATAAAGGTCTTGCAAATATGAAATTATCACCTATAGTACCCACTCAGAGAAAGAAAACTAAATAGTTGTAACCCTAAATCTTATTCACATACTCCCTTCTCTCACAAACAGACACACACAGTATGCAGAAGGATAAGGACTGCTTGCTAATCCCTGGCTATTGCAAAGGAAGATAAGTAATCCTCTGTAATCAAATCTGTATGAAGCCTTCGTTTCTTCATAATAAAGCATTCATGTTACAGATGCCCTGCCAGATTTTACCATCTTGCCATTATATTGATTCTTAAATAGGAAAGCTATCATACTTCTGACTACTTCTCATGAGGAGACTAATTAGATTATTTCATCATCTGGTTCATCAAAGAAGGAAATACTTAAGTGTCACAGCTGGTCTCGACCTACATATCTAGTACCAAGATTTTAAATGAAAATTATTACATCTTCAGTGGGTAAGCATTTCATAAATGGCTAGACAGTAAAAAATTATGAAGATAACAGATATAATCTCACATCTTTGGGCTGCAAAGGGAGTCAACTCTGCAAATGCATTTGGATTTATTTTCTCTTGCTTTTGCTAGTACTATCATCAAAGAGGTTTTGTATAATGAGCAGATCTGGAAAACTGAGAGAGCTATTTAGATTTCTGGCAAAGATTTATGGCTGAGAATTAAAACTCTGAGGTAACATCTTCATTCTAAGTGAATCTCCTGTTATTGATGCAACCTTTCCAATCAGAGTACTCACCACTACAGAAAGATCAACAACAAGGAAGCACATCCCCCTTGCAAAGGAACCATCCCCCTGCTCAATCACTATTCACTGCCCATCATTCCTTTCTGAATTTGTAAAAGATCTTCCTCTTCTGCACACACTGTATACATTCAGCAAATCCTCCTGTAAAGAAATGTGTGAAAAAGCCTCAGCTTTGTTGTGCTTCACCTTCTATATATACACAGAGGAAAAGAAAAGACAAACTACTCATGTGAAAGAAGTTTGTTACCACAGTGATTTGGAGTGAAATGGCCACCTTCAATTAGGACACTTAGGAAAAGGCACTTAGGAAAAGGCCTAGGTTTTGCAGGTCTACTTAAGACCTCAAAAAGAGCAGTGTGATAGTGGGTAAATAATTTCCTTTAAAGAGTGTTCTTATGAAAATCATATGTAAAAGTGGAGCCTTCATATTATACCAAAACCTCAGTAACTTTGTTATGGGATGATATAATCCTATTTCTCTTACAGACCTATAATGTCATTATGTAAATGGCTATACAAAGCCATGATTGTATCAACAAAATGAAATTGTTGTGTAAGACTGTTCCCAGTCTCTGCAAATGAGGTTTTTCAGCACTGTAATACCAGAAAGTTTCCTCCTATAATGCTAGAGGTAATGTTAGCATTGCTGATTCCTGTGGCAATTTTAATTTGAGGTTTATCACAATTAACCTTGAAAAGCACAGGACCAAAAAAAAAAAAAAACTAGATATGTGGAAGTTGCATCATGCAGTGAAAATTGTAATAATATTTATACTTCTCTTATGTTGTACACTTCCTTGACTTTATTAGAAATTTAGAAATCCTCATAATTTTGCTGGCCAGTTTACCTGGTCAAAAATAGCTCCTTGTAATCTCAACTCTCTTGGGTGTTTTTAAAAAATCAAGCTGTAATCTTATAAAAATTTTCAACTGAAGTTTTGACTGGGTCACTTTGATGTGGAAAAACGTCAAAACTATCTTTTTGAAGTTATATGAACCAATAGATGAACCATGAACCTCATGAACTTACTTTCTTTCTGAATTCAGCCTAACTTTTGGAGTGCAGAGTAATGGAAGGTGCAAATGGTTTAAAACACACATGCAATAATTTGAGGGCAGTAACAGTGCCATATTTCCAATAAGTTGTCTCCTGAATTAACAGCATAGAGCTGTTACAAGACAGTGCTATTAAATAAACTGGTAAAATTTTGCTATAAACTTCACTTAATGATCCTGTAAAATCATGACCCATGATGCTGATATTTTTAGCCTATTACATTATTAACTATTCTTAAATTTCTGACTTATTTCTGCCTTTGTGCTCATTTTGCCTTGGATGCATTTCATTTTCTATAGTAGCCAGTGTGTAGCCATATTTTGTATTTGTGCTGAAAAAAAGGCCAGAAATGAAATTCAGATTTTTGTACAATTCTGCAGTTGACCTGTAAGCAGCAGTGTGCAACATCTGCTGTGCTAAAAATTCTGGCCAGGAGACTGCACCCACTCTCCTGGGTTGAAAAATGTCTCCATCTCCAAAAAGGCAAAGAGATGGATCTTTACAGATCTTCACAATAAAGTCTCAAATGTGTGTATGAGCTTTTCCACAGTAATGGCTTAGAGAGCTATGAGCACTGCAGGGGCACCTGCTGTGAAGAGTACAATCCTCATTATTCCACTGCTTTTTGGGCACTGTTTTCCACTTTGTTTTCTCCTCTTTACAGATCCTCAATTTCTCATACATAACTCATTTTCTCATCTCATAACTATATATTACAGAAATACCCGTTAAGGAAGGACAGAGAAGGGAAAACAGTGATCTAAGACAGGCCAAAGTGAGTATTCCACAGATCCCAGGTGCTTAAAGGACTGTAGGTTCCACAATCTGAGGCAAATGGAGGCAATATTACAGACAAAACGAGAATGTCTGACCTCCTTGTCCCTCAGCAGAAGTTATTGTTTGGGTTTTACACAAGAAAACGGAATATGGGTGCCCGACTTAGCGATAAGCAGTACTGCTATTTTCTTTTAAGACAATTTACTTACTGACATGGGAAAAAGGAAGACATGCCACTGCATACTGAACAACAGGGGTGAAAAATCTTACTCAAATATTTGCTTTCACAGCTTTTTGTAGTAGTATTTTAACCATGAATATCCCTAGCTGATCTGGAAAAAGTCTCCTGTATTCTCTTAGAGCTATAATTTCCAAAAAGGTCATCAAATGAGGCCTTACTTTGTTGTTTTGTTATCAAACAGGCAGCACCAGAGAACTGATAAATAAAAATTCCCTTGTGGATACTAGTCCTGCTATGGTACTGTTGTCCTATTTAACTTTTTTTTACTCACAAGTTAGGCAACACAACAGAGAAATCATACCTTTCTCTCATGTGGCTTGCACATTTCATGTTCTTGCGGCAGCAGCCAATTTTGCTATTGCCACAACTTCCCATCCTCTGGCTTACACTCACTAAGTAGCCCCTCATTCCCCGCTAACCACCAGATGTGGTGTTCATGTTTCCAATCCCAGGCCATGTGGGATTCATGGTTCCAATCCCATGCCACACTCTGTTATCTACAGCTGTTTGTGAAAAAAGGCAACAAATTGAAACCATGCAATTTTACAGACAAGCCTTCCTAACAGTTAAAAGAAATCTAAAGGCACCTCCAGTAACAAATATTTAACAAAATAAGGTTACTAATGTGTAAATGAATATTAGATTGAAGAAAACCAGTTGAGAAATAGAGAAGGAGGAAGAAATAAACAGCAAAAACCAGAGCTTATGGAAAGTCAGACTTACTTTGTTATAAGTAAATGCAAACTACTAACCGAAATATAAAAATGGTCTGAAACAAGTAATGGACATTTCAGATTTTCTCATCACAGGGAAAATATGAAAGATGACACATTTCTTAAGAAGGCACTGTGATTTCACTGTCAAGACCCCAGTGTCAACAGTGCCTCCCAGCCCTTCTTTTCATAAGACAGGTAGCTAAAAAGCCAAAAGGGAGGACAACTTCAGAGCTCTGCCTGCAGTTTGGTAGCCAGAGTACTTCCAAGAATACCTAGATGTCTTGAGACCAGAGGCATTTTGAATTTCAGACCTCAGAGCACGGCCTATGACTCTCTAATCCCAAAACAGCCCATGTGGCAGGCTCAGAACCAGAGCTGAAAGCCCAGGCTCTGCAGCACACCAAGAGTTCAGCAGGTTGAATAAAAAATGTTTGCAAGTAAAAAGCAACTTTCTTTAGAAAATTTTCAGTCTACATGAAGAAAAACCCTGACAAAGTGATAACCTCAAATCCTTTATGCCAGGAATTAAAGTCCTCATAGCTAGGCCCAGCAAAGGAACCCAGCCTCATTAGAACAGCTCTGATGTCATTTTAGTGATGTCAAGGCACATTGAACCTGCCAAAGAACCCACGGAACCACACCTAACCTCCTGCAGGCTTCCCATGCTTCTGAGATGTGGCCAGGGTCACAGGAACACACCTTGGCAGCTGCTATGCTCTTCACTCATCAGTGCCAATGTGATGCTTTCAGAAGATTACCAAGCAAAAATATATCAACTAAACAGTCCCCAGGCAAGCTTTCAAAACATGTATGGTATTGGGGCATCTCTAACCAAATAGTACCTTTTCCCCACAAACTGGTAACATTAGGACACTGACAAATAAAAATATGGTGATATTAAATTTCTAGCAATGCACTTATCGTTGTTATTCAAAGCACTGTATACCACTGGTTCACACTACTCCAACAGGTCAGCTTTACTGCACACACACATGCACATACACAATTCCCTCCACAAAAAACTGGCAGACCCAGCCATGGAAACATTCAGGGTCAGGTAGGGGCTGGGTACAGGGCTCCTGGCAACCTGATCCAGACGAAGATGTCCCTGCGCATTGCATGGAAGTTGGACTAGATGACCTGTAAAGATCCTTTACAAATCAAACTATTCTATGATTCTGTGAAAAAACCTGCAAGCTGGGACACCACAAGACTTCTTTCAGCAACTGGAACATACCTCATACTCCTTGGATATTCTCCAGCCACCTTCCATTCTCTTCCTCTTACATCCAATTCAAAAAAAGCAGTAGGCAAGTCTTTATTGGTATGTTGAGGCTAATGAACGCAATTATCAAGGCATTTATCTCCTGCAATTTATAGTTGTTTATGTAATTTGGAAATCTATTTTTAAAAGTCAACCCTTTGCTGCTGCTGATACCTACCCAAGCTGAATGCTATGAAGAGGTACGACCTCCTCATGTACCTCACTTCTTTAATAATGTTTAATCTTGCAAAAGAAGTTTTGCTGTTTCCACAGGAGTACATGTCTAGCAATCATTATTCCAAAAATATATCTTACTGGTATAATTCTTTTTACTTCACAGAAGTTTAAAAATACAAGTAAAGGTCATATGCTAATTTGACATTTCAAAATCACACTCAAACCTGAAGATTCATAAAAGTTTGATTATGATACTTGATGTACTCTTCATATAGAAAAAGCTTAAAATTACTTCTTTTTGTAATGTAACTGAGTGTTTTTGCAATAAGACATAATTTTAAAAGGCTTTAAATAGTAGAGAACACCTAGCCAAAGAAACTTTTACCATTGTCCTGCTAAAACAACAACAGATGTACCAAACATACTTTCTGAAAATTCTTGAGTAATCAGAGTTGTCACTTCTCCAAGTTGCCACAAGAAGAATTTATAGCTTAAAAAACCCTTTTATTTTGTTAATGTTGTAAGTAAAAAACACACTCCACCAATTTTTTTATTTGAATGTGTGATACAAGAATACAAAATAAGAAAACCCCATTTAAAACAGGGGAAACAACCTTACAATTCCTTAGGAACACTGAAGATGTGCATAATACCTAGGCTCATACTTACTAAATACACCTTTAACATCTCATTGCCATCTTGTATTCCTTCATCCTTATCTTCTCCCTTTTTCTTTCATTTCTTACCAACTTTGTAAACTCTTCAGAGCAAGTCTGCTTTTTTATACAAGGCTTGACACAACAGAGAGCATTTTTCCCTCTGAGCAATTGACATATACAACATAAAAGGAAACCAGATCTTAAATTGCCTTGTTATATTAGCTGGTTTCACTCACCACTGATCTTTCAGTATGCTGCAGATTCTGCCTCAGAAGAATCTTTTGACAGACACTGAACGATCTGATGGCTGGTTAGGAACAGCTGAGGTCTTGGAGAGCTGGAAAAGTGTAAGGGGCTATGTAAATAACGAATTCAGCACAACAGGCAAATAATTATGTTCAAAAGATGACCCTATAAATTCAAACTATCAACTGCTAATACCACCATGAGATTTCCAAGTTAGCAACAGGCTTTCTCCTCTCCAGAAAATGCAATGGTTCCAGGTTGGCTGCAGATGTGGAACACCACTTCTGTCATATTCTTCACAGCCAGAGCAGTGGAAAAGCAGCAAACTAGGTGTCCAAGGCACAGTTTTGTAACTATTTAGGAAAGGATCAGGTATGACACAAGTTCCAATCTTCAACTTTTGACTTAGCATGAGAAGCTTAGACTCTGTCTGCACAAGTCCTCTACATACAAGCCATACTTAGGAGGCTGGATTCCCAGGTGCTGGAAGTAGCTGCTCAGCTGCTTCAGTTCAGTGGTGAACACAGTGATACTAGGTTAACAGCTGGACTTGATCTTAGAGGTCTTTTCCAATCTTAATTATTCTAAGATTCTAGAAAGCCACTATTTGCAAAGGGACTCCACAGAAAAGAGAAATTAATGAGGTCATCAATTCTTAACAAGCCTAAAGAAGGTTATTCCCTTAGAAGGGTTCTGCTGCTTAGCTCAAAGGAGAAAGGTGCTTTCTTGATCTCTAAGATTGTTCATCTTTCTTTTAGTTGGAATTAAAAAGATAATCTGGAGTTGTTCATAGCAGCGGATGTGGAACAGACAACACTGTCATTTCTTGTGCTGTTCTGTAGAGTACAAAGAGAAAACAAGATAAGTGCAGCAGTTATCATTTATTCCATGCTTGAGTCCCATACATCATTTAGCACTGGATGAGAGCATCTTGGGAGGGCAGGGGAATTCGGACTGGGAAAGCAGAAGCTCCAGGTAGGGAATATCTTCTAAAACTAAAAGCAAATAAAGAACCTTCTACCCCTTGTAGCTGTAGGTAAGATTGCTTATATACTGACAGTTTAAAACACAGACTAAATAAAATTATGCAGCAAGAAACATTTTCCTGGGTAACTACTTCCACTTTTACATTATTTACTTATTTTGAGTATATGTTTAACTGTTGAGGGAGGGACAAAAAAATCATTTTCCTTGTTTTATTAACTCCACTGCTCCAATAGGCAAAACATGGAATTGAACAGTAATAGAGAAACTGCAAATAAGACCGAGTTTTTATTTTCATCTTTATTACAAAATTGTCAAAAAATACTCTGCTAACATTTGAAGTTTAACTTAAAAAAATCTTCACAGCTCACCAGGCTCCCAAAATGGAAATGAAGGTAAAGAAGTTAGGCAATGTATTTTGCTCTCCATTACAAACAGTCAGAACTCAGGAACCTGCCATCAGGAAAATCAGTTTGTCCAGCACCTCTGCCTCTACTACTATAAATGATTAAGTGGCAGAGGCCTCATTACATTTTCTTTGTATTTTTCAAAGTAAATCTAAGCACAGCAAAGGATACACAAAGTGTACAATTCTTTATTTTTTTTTAAGGGATCATTTTTTGGTTAGCTGAAAAATACAGCTCACTTGCATGGCTTTATAATGTGCCAGAACATAATGAAAGAATCTTTTAAAAAATACATATAATCTGTTAAAATTTCAGAATTTTTAAGATGTTGAGACTGTTGGACTACATTTACAATGTAGTCCAAAAATTAATACACACAAAGACAGAATTACCAATTGTTTTAAAAGTATAATTTTACATAGAATATGGTCAGTCAAGAATTCATGTGCCAGTAAATATAATAGCACTGCTCCTTTTATTTTCTCTGAGGCAGACAAACACATAAAAATATGTAGAAAGATGCACTGCCTTCATAACTATTTTAGTTTAAAAATCCATTGTTTTGCAAAAAAAAAACTTTAAGAAAACATGTATCATTCTGAATTGTTTGCTTCCATTGACTCTTGAAAAACAATACATTATAATTCTTTAAAAATAGCATAAGAGCTACAGTACAGCAGCAGCAATGTGCTATCAGCTCAGATTTGATAGCTGCAGTGAGAATACTTTAAAATATCTTTCTTTTCTTGACGTTTGAAAAAGAACAGGGATGAACTTACACTCTTAACATTGCTGGCAGATGAAAAATTGTTTTAACCCACCATGTTAACCTGATGGGTTAATATGATTATTCTTCAAAACCCACAAGCCTATAGAACCACAAAAGGCTTATTCTCTAGGTCATGTTAAACATTGACCAAGAAGGAAAACTGCAGAGTAACCAGCCCAGTTATGCCAACTTTTATTACCAGTTCACTGGATGGTCAAATATGATTTTGGGGTGGCTGACCACCAGGAACCACCAAAGAAACCCCTGTTACAGAAGAACATGTGTGCAAAGGGGAGGGAACAAATGTTAATGACTTTGGGGAAATTATATCATCTATATGTTATTCAGGAAGGTCAATGAATATGTATGTAATATACAGCATATAAACAGGAGCTTTCTCTGTAATCAGTATACACAATATTTCAGAGAAGATACTGCCTCGTGTCTGGGCAAATAAAGAATGCCTGCTTCTTAATGCTACACTGGTGTTAAGGAGTTTTATCTTTACTGATTTTTGGTAACAACATCGGTATCTAAATATGTTCAGATCATCAAAATAAGGGACCACCTTGCACAGAGGGGAGACAGCATTAAACAAATATCTTGTCACTTAAAGAATTCTAACTAAATGCAATTGGTTTTATTTCTGTTACCTTTAGGTGCACCATCAGTAATAAAGCTAAGTTCAAGAGTCCCCTGGGAAGATGTGGAATTTCAGAAGGTACAGATGTATAGATGAGACCCTGCTCAGTTTTCATTCTGCAGAAGAGTGAAATAATCAATATGCTGAAACTTCAAGACCTCATTTCCCCAGCTGGTCCAGCCAGGCTGTAGGTTGCGAGCAAACAACTCCAAGCATTCCACATCTGGCTTGATAAACTCTGCCAGAACTGCTGTGCAAGAGAAAAAAGAAAAAAAAAGAAGACACCAACAATGACAATGGCACAAATAACAACAGTAAAAAAGTAAAACCTCCCCTGTGATGCTGGCATATGAAAAAAATGAATGTTTTATTAAAAAAGGGAGAGACAGCAAATTAATTTCAGAGGTTTCATCAAATAGCTGGACTATTTATAGTGAGAAAGTAATCTTAAATAAATGCCCTTGAGATTCTGAAAAATACTGTCAAGGCCTTCAGTAGCCTTGATTTATTGGTTTTCATTTAGCAAAAGGGAAGGAAGATTTATTTCAGCCTCTACATAGATGAGTTCTGAATTTTTTTTACTAATATCAACCAAAGACATCCTAAAGCCTCACTTAGCTCCAATAACATGGAGGCAATACTTATATAAATAAATACATACATACATACATAAACCTTTTTCTTAATTAAGAGCACACTCTCTTTTCCTCTGTACCTTAAAGGGGATAAAAGTATTTTTGTAATGACAACTGTTAAAAGTAACACCAGTTAAATAAGTATAGCACTAAAATGGATGTAAAAATGCAGGAACTATTTTCTCCCCCAATATCAATCTGGCAAGAGATATTTCTATAACTGCTACTGTTATTCAGTAACATATATCTCAAATTTCTCTTGCAGTTAGGCATTTTTAATGCCTAAATCCAAATATAAAGACGCCTGCCATTAACATCAACCGTGTCACTGATTATGACTGGTATTCTTGGAGTGATAGAAAAAGATCTTGCATTTTGCTTGAAAAGTATTACTGCAAAGAGTTTATTGTTAAATGTGTTACTTGTCATATACAGCCATTTAGTCTATGGCTGGTTTGAGCAACCCCTTAACTAAGTTTCATGAAATGGCTACAAAAACATTGTGTACAAAAACATAAGGAGCACTCAACACAGAGAAAGCAGAAAGACTGAAAAACTTATCTATACTAAAAATTGCATGTTAAGTTTTTTGTTTTGCTGATGAAGATAAAAGAAGAAAAATTATGGAAATATATCCCTTTCCAAAGGATACTTTGGTCATTTTTAGATCAGATCTGCCAGTGATTTCTGAATCTCTGTCACTTAAACATACAGCTCATAAGGTCAACATTTTGCTGCTTCACTCAGTCTCTTCAGATATGACCACTGCAGAAAGCAAAAATATATCCAGTCAACATACACCAAAGTATGAGAGGAAATGTTTTTTTTCTTTTTTTTTTTTTTTTTTTTTTTTTTTTGTGCAATCCAAGTACTGAGTTTTTGCATCAAGTTTGCCAGTCACAGATGCCCTATGTGAGACTCCAGCTGATCAGGCCACAGACTGCTCCTGTTGTAGAAAGATGAGCACCCACTTTACTTTCTAGTGTTAGCCAACCCCAAGATGCATTTCCTTCCGGGATGATCACCTCCTCCAAAGCTCCAATATATTAAAAACTTTTCTGTAAATAATTTTAATGGGTGTTTCCAGGCTTTATTGTATTTTGGCATAAGAATAAAAAAAAAACAAAAATCTATTCGCTTTCCCCCAATCTTTAACAAATGTCACATGAATGTCTCAGATGAGTTATCACGAAGGCAGCTTTTAATCTAAAAAATACTGCTACCAGAAGGAATCTTATTCCAAAAACCTGCTTCTTTTAGAGGCAATATAAAATGTTTAAACAAATCTAGCATTTGCAGGGAAGAGTCTGGGAAGTTTAGAGGAAAATGTACGTTCTGACAGAAAACTCATGCACTGTTTGGTGTCGTGGGTGTTCATCTAATTAGACACCACTTATGAGTAGTTGCTTAATACCATTTTGCAAACACATCACAATAAAAAAAGTGGTAAAATTTATTGTTCTTTTCACAGCTCCATTAAGATGAGAACTTCTTGTGCATAATTTGCTGACAATTTGTTCAGAGGGCCAAAGCACCTCTCCTAGGAGGACAAGCTGAGAGTTGGGGTTGTTCATCTTGAAGATGACAAGGCTTCAGAGAGACCTTACTGTTGCTTTTCAATGCTTAAATGGGGCCTATAAGAAAGAAGGCAACAAGCTTATTTTAGCAGGGCCTGCAGGAATAGGACAGGGGATAAAGGTTTTCAAGTAAAATAGGATGAATTCAGACTAGATATAAGGAAACAATTGTTTACAATGAGGGTGTTGAAACACTGAACAGATTGCCCACAGAGGTGGTAGATCCTAAAACTCATAAATCAAAAATAATCATCATAGCATTAGGTTCAGTAATCCAAAGCAGTTTCAACAGGCACCAAAAACTAAAAGAGCAAACTTGAAAAGCACACTTCAGAGATTCAACCAACCTCAAAGACTGGTTCACTAGAAAGCAAAAAAGAGGTAGCCAAGAAACCGATCAGTTCAACAGAAGCACAAAACGTGTGCCAGTCTTTCTATCAATTTGGTTCTACAATTTAAAAAAGAAGTCGCAGGAATCTCCCTCTCTCCTTCTGGCAGAGACAGCATCTTTTTAAACTTAGAGGGCTTTTTAAAAAAAACAGACATATTACATATAATTTGAGATCATATTATAGTATGATTCTTCATTGCTAGGTTGTAGGCATTTACATAATCACATCAGGCAGTAACTTGCACTGCAACTAAATTACCATATCAAAAGAGCTGAATTTTGTTGGCTTAAAATCTCATTACATTAGTTTCCTTCAAATAGGAAAAATCAGTGTTCAAGTCACAAATTATGTCTTCTTTGTTAGACCTTTACATTACCAGTAGGCTATCATAAGACACATGGATCTGATCTGCAGCCCTCAAGCAAACCCTTGGGGTTTTTTCATCTGAAAACAGCTTAGAGGAGTTCCATCAGTAGAAAAATTAAGTATTGAGTTTTTCTACCACAGGAATAGATTGAAAAACAAAACCCAGAACACAATTACTTCTACCCACTTACAGATACCACTGACAGGAAACAGGTTAAATAGATGATAAACAGCCTATTCTTTATCACTTACAGGTGTCACAAACACTATGACAGCAACTCAGATACTTATACTTGAGCATCTAATGCCCCAGGACATGTGAAGTGAGCACAAAGCCAGCTGGCAGACACAACAGTTCCAGAAAACCCATTTCATTCTGAAGCACAATCCAGTGGCCAGGCAGGAGACTTGACACACCTGCATACTCCTAATCCCAGACACGTATTGAAGATGCATGCTCCTAAAATGTTTAAATGAGCTAAAGAATTATCTCTGAAACAAGCAACAGTTTCTCCTTATTTTTTTTAACTTCCACTGCCTAAAAAGCAGGTTCATTGACAAATTGGATATATAAAGTGAAAATAACTGTCTGCTTTTTCACTGCCTGATCAGTGTGCCATGCAAAGCACAAAGCACAAGTTATCTCAGTTTAAAATAACCCTTCAAAAGAGTTTGCAACATAGAGGTCCTTATTGCCCAATTTGTCTAAATCCTGGACCAGAAAATTATCTGAAATCCAGCTCAAAGATCTGCACTGCATTCTTCCTGAACTTCAAGTTAAGCCTAGATGCTGATGTACCAATCAATTAATCTTACAGCAAGAGCTCACAATGCCCATAAGGAAACAAAAGACATTTACTTTTTTTTAGTTCTTTTTTTAAATTTTTTTTAGTTCCAAGAAAATCTTTATAACGTGGCCTGATAAACCATCATTGCTACAGAGGGGGGACCTCCCATGACTCCTCATTGCACAGTTCTGCTGAATATATGCAAATTGGTTAGAACATAGCCAAGAATTAATTCCACTGCTTTCAGGCAAAGTCTACACAACAGTATTCTTTTCTAACAATAAATGCATATACTTAAAAACCAGAAGAGCAATGGCTGTAACAAGAACAATCTATAATACAGGAAAAGGAAAAAAGGTCTTGTGAAGTTATGTAGAACTTCATATCTGTAACACAGTATCTTTTCTGCTCTCTAAGAGCACCATTGAATTGAATTAGGAAGAAAACCTGCTGTTATGTGAATCAAAACCTGGAGTAATAAAATTTGATTTTAACACATTTGCATAAAGCAGCTTAAATACATTTACAATGACATATTAGAGCTCTAAGCACTGAACACAGCACATGCATCACCAAAAACCCCTACAGTTGCAATTTCATGGTTAAATGCACTGTAGGAACACAAACATCTCTTTTTGATGGCTTACTTTAATTTACATCTTTCTCTTCCCCCAGAGAGATAAACTCTTATAATCAGTCATTAAGTGGCTACATATGTACCAACATACAACCTTTATTGTTGTAATAAGAAACAAAGGGCCAGACAGCATCAGTAAATACTAATATTTTTGGCTTTGCTACTACTTAAACAAAGCATAAAGAATGTGTGTGACTCATCAAGTGTCCTTCTCCCCTCTTGCCAAATCTCTGCTTCTGTTCAAATTTCTTCTGAACCCCTCTCTAGGATGTAGCTCAGCTGCTCTCTACTGGCTGCTTGAGAATACTGCCTGGTCATGAAAGCAACAGCTTGTACAGCACAGAAGTCAAAGCATCAACAATCAGCTTTTGCTTTATGGTCTACCTTTTCATTACATAACCATATTTTGCTTTATGGTCTACCTTTTCATTACATAACCATATTCTGCACAGACCTGCAAAAAAAACCCTGTAGGTTATACGTGGTTCTTCACAAAAACCTTTTAAATAATTCATATTGCTCCACAGCAAGTTCATTTTTTCAAAGACAAACATAAATGCTGCATAACGTTATCAAATCCCATCACTCAAGTAAAGACTCAAGAAATACACACAAGAAATTAGGAAGGACAGTTTCCTTCAAAGTCCAGTCAGAATTGTAATTTACAAAGTATTCTCCAATATGGACCACTGTTGCACTAAAATTTTCCATAATACATCCAAACTGCTGGTTTGCACCCTTGGATACCTCACAAGTTTCCTGTTTGTGTCCAAGTTTGCTGCCAAGTATTGGCTTGCTAAAGAGACCCTAGGTGACAGCCTCATAAATAACAACCCCACTGTTCATTAGCTTAAATCAACACATATAACCCCTGCTGTAGCCCTAATTCTTGAAGATGTGGCTTCAGGATGGCACAAAGATCCTCCTAGAACTGCCCTTCTTTTTTTTTTTTCTATTTTTTAGCTAACCAAAGTATATCCTTCCTACTAGGTTTTTAACAAGGGGGTGTGTGTATATGTAGATATATACATATATGGTAATTTAATAAATGCAAGCCCCCAAACACAGATGTTAGAGCATCCCTGGAGGTACAACAATTGTTCAGATCAAAAGAATTTCTACCTCTTGGGAAGAGAAAAAGGAAAGCATATCAGTGAAGCAAAGTGTGACACCTCTCCTCTCCAAGAGCATTAAACATTTCTTCTACCTGCCTTTTCTGATGTGAATACAAAACACCTGGAATATTTGCAGTCTCGTCGTGAGCTTCCCCCTTGGTGGAGGATGAAATCTATTTTATTAGAGGTATTAAACATATTTCTTACCACAGACTTGTTAAGCTCTACGGTGCTGTAATGATGAAAGAAGTACCACTTCCTACTGACAAAATCAGTAGAAGTGCTCCAGAACAAGTCTTTGGACTAGCTCTAAAAAGTTGAATTTATACCCCCACTAACTGGCTGGCTGGAATTACTGCATCAATTTCAGTGAGTGAAATACAGCTCCTCAGAACCAAGCAGGGCATGCCTTATTTTTTGCCTCTTGTTAGCAGTCTTAAAATAGTTAAGTTTTTGGATTTAAAGGCATAATTGTACTGCAGGCATATAATCAAAGGCATAATTGTACTGCAGTCATATAATCAATTCATGCAGATATGTAAACACTTATTTCAGGATGACATAATAAAGAAAGAGGTTTCTGCTTTCTTATTTTATGTATTCCCAAAGTTCTCTCCCTCACAAGGTAAATTAGGTCATTTGTCACAACTTCATATATGAAGTATCTGTAAAACTGGTCTTGCAGCATTTAAAAGACAAATTTTGAAAAAGGCAACATTTTTTCTGCGTCTACCCAAAATGTTCACACAGTACTACTTGAAGTTCTAGTTTTTCATATTAATTTTCTGAGACCAGGACTGAGGTGCTTTGGAAGACTTTTAGAGGAACCACAAGTTCTGTTGAGTAAAATTGCTTGACACATGGGAAATTAAGGCATTTCTAGGTACATCCCATAATGAGGAATTCAAGATCACTGTGCTACAGAAACATTAGGTGAAAAAACCAAAACATACCAGAAAGAGGAGGTTTATGTGAATGCAGACTGCAGGGTATGCTGACAATTAACTGATGCTCTGGAATTGGAAGAACACCTTCAGATTTCCTGTCATATAAATCAGAAAATAAAAGAAACATGAGAATGAATGTTAACCCAATGTGATGCTACAGCTCTTGCAGAGTTATTTGAGATGGGAGATAACACACAGAGTGTTCATTCACAAACTTCAGGGAAGTCCAAGGAAAGTTAAATGCTGCTCAGACATAATATACAAAATGACAGTTTATGCAATCATTGAGGCTTTGGCCAAAACATGGTTTACAACAGCCATGCAAAGCCACTGAGAACAAACAATGCAGTCCTGTACGTCATGGAACACGTGTGGAACAACAGCAGCATCCCCAAAATGGCATCAGCCTGTGCAAAGAACTTGTGGTCCAAGAGAACCTGTCAGCAAAGGAAGCCCTGTCCACAAGGCTTTTGTCCAAGACAGTTTCTCAAGACAGCAGATGCAGGAACAGTCAGGGGGTTCCATTCTTCAGTCTCACCAAGGCACTCCCTTACTCCAAAGCTAATAAGGCTATCTTTAGGTCCACAATCAACCAAAACATTTTGGGACATTATATTGCCTTATGAGTAAGTGATACATATAAAGGGAATCCTAGCAGCTGCAAAAAAAAAGGACATTTACCACAAATAGCCTGACATACCTTAAGGCTTCCTTTACCTCTCCTTGAACTCTCCCCAATATGAGAACTTCATAGGGCTTTTTGTGCAAAGAATCCAAAGGCAACACAAATTCTCCAGCTGTAGTAATCTGACACAAGAGAGTTAAAAATATACAGCAGAAAATTTTAATATCCCATAATGTTCCAAGACCTTTTCCTTTATAAAAAGAAGGATAGTAATGGTATTACAGCTTTCAAATACCAAAGCAAATGGTAGTAAATAGACAAATTAGAAGAAAACAAAGTGTTACAGTGCAAGTCTGCTCAGTCTCCAAGAAAGCAACAAAATAAATTAAGAACTTACTTTTACCCAGTGCCACTCAGCAAGTGTTTTCACCGACCAGTGAGGATAAAGTTCATCCTTAACAAAACGTAAGTGCTTCTGTCTATTAGTCACCCACGTGACTACAAGACAATTTGGAGCAGCTAGTGCTGGTACAGGAATCTGCTTGATTTGCCATGAAGACAAGTGGCTGTACCTACGCCAATAAAGTGAGAAAGCAAATTAGCATATACCAACCATAAAAATTGCAAAGCAGAACAAATGGATTAAAAAATTACACAGACCAGTCACTTCAAGAATTACCTCCTGACAATCTAAGTCATAAAAATAGTTCAAGACTGACACCCAGTGGACAATTCTGAGAGATTTTATACAAAATCATTAGTGTATGTACATAAGTTTTACTGAGCAGAACCGTGAACTACGTATTTACACTATCTCTTGAAATAAAGCATTATTAGCTGTGACTCTGAAGTGTAGAAGCCCATGTTTCATTTTAAGAATTATCAGATGTAACTCAATATTCTCATCTTTGTGCCAGAACAAAGCTATTTAGTGAACAGCAGCTTCTTAGGCAAAGTAATACAATTCACTTCTCATAATAAACTCTCTTCTCAATGAAAATGACAAGTGAGTCACACTAATTTGAATGGCAAGTGAAGAGGTCATTAGAGATAATAACTTCTCCAATTATTTTCACAAGTTGTTCATTTTTTTTAAATTATCAGCCATGCTAGAAGTTTTCTAGGTTATTCAAACACATTCTGCACTTTTCTGAGCTAACTGAAAGCTACACTGGTGAATTCAGGATGCTTTCCAGATCCTGTCCTGTTCTACCATTTTTTTTCATGATGCAATTCTACACTATCAATAAACTGCAGCTCGTGGAACCTACACATTGCAGCACCAAAATTACTGGCACACTGCCTAATGAAAATTGGCAGCCCCCGTGGGGGTAGCCAGGACCCTAAACAATGCTACAGTGAGAAACAGTGAACAAGGATAAAATCCAAATACCCCCTGGACTGTCTAGAGGAGAAAATATTCACCTAGATGAGAAATGCTTCACAATGATTAGCTGGCAACAAGATAATTATGAGCAGTGATAGCTCCTCCACTCTTTGCCTTTATTTCATATGGGATGAAAGAATCTTGGTGACTAACTTACACTCATAACTGCAATTATTCTCTGAGTAACTTATATACTCAAGAAAGACATTTTTGAATGAGAAATGTCTCATCTGAATGAGAGTTTATAGAGGTTTCTGAAGGGCTTTCAAAGGAAAGACTACACATCAGTCTCTACATCTTCAAATTATGTCTTCATAATAAGCATCAAAAGCCACAGCGAACTTCATTCTAGAAAGTTGCAAGACCATATTTCCTGTCTACCCTTCTTTCAAAGAGACACAATTCTATGGTAATCAAGAGGACTCCACTAGCATAAACATGATGTTACTCAGCAGTGAAGGAAGCCCATAAAAATTTAAGTCAATAACTTCATAAGCTACAGCACTCAAGAGTTCCCATTGCACTAGAGGATTTCACTGCTGCATTATCATGTTCTTCTAAACATTAGACTGAAGCTTAAGTTACACCTCAAATTAAATAAAAATGCACTCAAACCTCTGAGCAAGATTTCAGTCCTGGAAATACTTACACCTTTATCTAGCTTTATGTCCACTGAAGTAACCCTATTAATTACAAACTAATATGTGCATTACCTGGGCCCTACAGAACAGCTGAATCCATACTTTCTTTGTAAAGGGCTAACATTCTCTCACCAGCTAGATAATTTAAGATCTACTCTTGCAAATATCTTGTATGCCAAGTATCCAACACACTTCAGTGAAAATACCTAAGACAGTCCACAGACTTGAAGGTAAGCATGTGCGAAAATATTTACAAACTTGAGCTACAGTCTCACAGTTATACTGGTCCTGGATTGGATCAATACATTAAAATGTTAATTACCCTTTGTAAGCTACGATGACAAAGTTTGTTTGATTTTATTATAAAACATACCTGTTACTCCTTTTAACAGACTTGTTCTCCCATGGTGGATCAATCACAATAATATCATATTTTTTCTTGTCTGGCAAGTGAAATGAAGGGGAAAAAAAAGAAAAATCAGTAAAGTAGCTTTTAAAAATATCTATGAGTTAAAACAGATATATATCAAACCTGCAAATTTCTTCTCTCTTTCCAAATAAGAAAAGCATATCAAAAAGACTTTTGACATGCTTTTTTTAATTCAGATAATCATATCCAGAAAATTCAATATTTTTAGGCTGATTACCTAAGGAAAGAACTTTTATGTGGTCTGATTCAGATCCCTCCAAAAAATTTTAAATATCTTTAGGACTTTCAGGGAAAAAACGGATAGCAGAGTGCAAGTCTCAAAAATAAAAAATTTTCCAAGTTTCCCAACAGAAGCTATGCAATAAGGCACCCAGCTGAGTGAAAAGCTACAGCCCTGAATGCAAGATTCCTGCCCTGTTTGATCTTTTGTCAGGCCAACAGGGACATGCAGAGCTTCAAGCCAGCCCTAGAAAACTGTTTTGCACTACTGGAGGTAAAGAGAGACAGATAGCTAGACATAGCGTGTGAAATGGGAATCAATGAATAAAAGAACCAAAAGAGTTTTCATAGGAGAAGCTGAGTTTACTTTAGCTGGAGGATAGAAGATACAGAACACATCCAGGAAAAAACAGAACTCCCCAATTTTATTTCTCCAGAGAACATATTTGTTCTTTCATTGAATCTGATGGTCAGAACAACAGCTTAGTATTTGATGTTCATGAAATGTGATTACAATATTACATACTACATATTATTCATTTAACACTGGAGGTGTTATCCTTACAGTGGACTGACCAGCAAGAATTACTTCTCTTTTGGCAGATGAAAGGGAAGAAGAAAAATAATAATTAAAATGCACAGCAGATCTACTCAGAAAAAAAAGTCTACAGTCAGGGCATTATGTTAGCATTCACTGTTGTTTATTTCAAAAGCATTTGCTCAGATTTCTTGGACTGCTCTGTAACTCCTTGGAGAATCTTACATGCTCCACTGTGCAGAGTGGTGGCAGAATGATAATAATCTTTCTTTCCTACAGATAGGTAGCTAGCCCGATTTTGGACTTCAAATGCAAAATTATTATTTAGATAGTAAGATTCTACCTGCTGAATGTCTTCTTAATAAAAAACAAAATTAAAAAAAAAATGTCTAAATTACATATGCTTCCTCTCTTCTCATGTGCAATTAAAAAAATCTAAAATTACTGATTAGAGGGTAGAGCAGTAATGCCCAGCTCTTGCTCACAGGCAACATCTTTCCTGTAAGACTGTCTGATAAAGCCTAGCTGTGAGTGACAGTGACAAAAATAATAGTAATGAAGGCCAATTTGAAAGCTAATGGAATGGCACTGAAGACTGATGCATGCTGTCAGCTTAGGGCTGAGGATAGTGCCTTGGATAGCTTTTGATCTACTTAAACAGAGTACTTTATTATTCTAAAATCCCCTCATTTCCCTGTCACTCATTTCTGCATAAGCCAATACTCTCGGCTGTGAAACACAGCAGCTGAAAAGTCAAGTCATGTTTGCTACTGGTGGTCTTGCTAAAGTAGTGTTGCCCTCCACCCAGGTGCAATAGCCTCTCAAACTGTTATCTTCCCTGGGGGATACCGGGCTTTGTTCCACAACCAGTTTATTCCAATCTAAAAAGACCCTGCCACTGAACAGGATGAGTCTGTAAGTGAACATTTGCTTTATGGTGCACTATCTCATCCCTCCCCCATGGTCTAATCTAGCTAAAAACCAGGACCACCACTTCAGCAGCAGCACGGACCTACCTATGCCAAAGGCTCATCCTGCGGGACAGGGACCCAGCAGCACAGCTAGTCCCAATTCAACGTGTTTATGTGACTTCTATGCTGACAGTGGCTCAGAACATGCTCACAAACTGCTGTATTTTGGCTGAGACTTTTAAAGGAGCCTCCTGGAGATAAATAATCCTCTCATGACATGATTTCCTAACCACTCAAGACTCCTTTGAAAGTCCTTACCCATTTTCACGAAGTTAGAAATATCACCTTGAAAGCCTGCAGCAGCATTTGCTATCAGTGAGATGCTTTATGCTAAAATCTGTTGAGTTATCTTGACACTAAGTGCCCTTCTTGGGCAGGAGAAAAGGGGTAAATTCTAACACCTAAAGATACTTACAGTTCAGCAGGGGCTGTAAACATGAAATATCAGATAAGAGGAAACTGCTTTTTGGTGGCACCAAGTATTTCTGCCCCATTAACACAATTATCTTTGCAGAGTTTGAGTTGTTTTCCGTAACACATGAAAGCAGGTCCTGCTCTGCACTGGAGGTTTCCTCCTCTAGCACACATACAGCTTGATGGTCACTTTCATTCACAGCTGGAAAATGCTTTGCCATTTCACATAATTCAGCCAAGCCACAGACAATGTGCTGAGGAACATTATTCTTCCTGCAACTGAGTTTTGCAGTCTTACGGTGAAGAAAACCACTTTTGAGTCCCTCTTGGACTAAATGCAAAGTCCCTTCCCAAATGAGCTTCCTGACCTGTATGGTGAAAAAAAAAAAAAAAAAAAAAAAAAAAGAACACAAAGGAAAGAAAAAAAAAAGATCTTTCAAGTATCTACTTGACCAGGGAATGCAACTGAAATCAGAACATTTTCAATCTGCAGGCAGGGAAAAGGATCCTTGCCAATTACTGAGATCATTGGCTCAAAATCTGCAAAGGCATTATAATAAGGTGTGTGTCTTGGTCTAACCCCAGCTGGCAACCAAGTACCACACAGCCATTCGCTCACACCGCATGCCTCCCAGTCCCTGGTGGGGAGAAGAATCCAAGGGAAAAAGCAAACCTCATGGGCTACTGTAAGATCAGTTTAAAAACCGAAACTAAAAAATTATTATCATTATTAGTGAAAAGTGGGAGAGAGAAGTACGGCCCAAGAGAAACAACTAACACACAGCAAGATCGCTCACCACCTACTGATTGAAGTTCAGCCTATCCCTTAGTAGCAAATCCATGGCTCCTGGCCAACTCCCATTGTTTATATAGTGAGCATGATATCCTACGCATGGAATATCCCTCTGGCCGGTTTGGGTCACCTGTCCTGGCCATGTTACCTCCCAGCTTCCTTTGTGTACCTGCTTGCTTGCAGAGCACAGGAAACTGAAAACTCCTTGACTTGGGGTAAGCACGGCTTAACACACTGAGGTTTGAATTGTTGCTGTCAACACTGTCCTCCTGCTAAACCCAAAATGAGAATCTTTGATGTTTTCTGATCTATCCTGACCAGGCTGGAAGGGACAAAGCAGCTGCAGCTGGGTGCAGACATTTGGGCAACACATCTACCTTTAGCATCCAATATGCTAACTCTCGGGCTTTTTAAAAGTCTTAGGTTTATTTTTCATTTGCAGCACTTCCACTCCATCAACTCTGCATTAGCTGTCCATCTACCAAGCAGAAAACTAACTCTATCCCAGCCAAATCCAGGACAACACACTAACTTCTGTTGTTGGTTTTCATTTTTTGGTAAAGTTAGAATAATTAGAAGGCTGGAGAAAGAAAGAGCAAGAAACTACTGAATAAAACATTTCAGACAACAGACATGGAATATCATTGTTTCAACCCAACACAAATTTCAAAGCAATTATCAGAACTTTAATTTAAAATTCTAATTTAATTTCAAGTTACTGTGCCCATGAACATCTTTTTAATTGAAATGTATACTGGAATCTAAAAATCATTTTCCACATTTCAATTCACTTCATAAAACAACAGTTTATGCATTTTATAGTCATACAGAAGTACAATCAGTAAATCAAATTAAAATATCAGAACTCAATTTTTGCAGCTTTCCTAAGCGGCAAACATCTCAAATAGCCTGTTAGTCAGTCTGGGATGACACGATTCTTGGATGCATATACACTGTCATTCACCTGCTGGGGAGTCAGCATCTCCCCTTCACAAAATTTAGAGACCCATTTTATTTCCAAATCATGGAGCCTTTATGAGTTTTGATTGTCAGTGAGGTGGGTTTATCCATTTGTCCATTGTCAATTACAGGAGCTTTCTTAAAGCCCCTGTAAAAAGCCATGATACTGTGGTTTCAAAAGCTTCTGATTACAGAATCTTCAAGATTACAAGAGGGTTTTACAAAATGCACTTTATTACAATTCCCAGCTTAGTGAAAGAGGAAGAAAAAGATTTTTTTTTTTTATAATTTAATAGTGCCACCTCTAGATAACAGAGAGTACAGAGTCATACATTTTTAGTACCTAGGTTTGTGATAAAAAAAGTTCATACTGCTTCAACAGAATTAATAAACATTATTTTCAGAAATTATACGTTCTTACATGCATGTGTTAAGTCATAGGCAGACAAAGTGGACAAAGTCTCTTGACTATGAAGCAATCAAAGCAGGAGATTTAACAAATCGCTGCTGAAGGAATTCAGCACATTTTGTACTGTTCCCTATGTTGACACTGACTGAAATTCATAAATGGATTCAACAGCTGAAATTCACAGATTCACTTGCAAAAACAAAAAATTGCAGTTGCTTGGGTTTATTTTTGATGAATGTACAGATATAAATAAGTGCCAAAATAATCTGGGTTAACTTGCAGAGCTATAACCTTTAATAGCACAAATATAATAAAAACCCAATACTTTCTAATCTGTGGATGATATAAAACGCTAACTGGAGTCACAGATTTTTTCAGACTCTGTCTTTTCTACATATTTACCAAATACCACTAAAGTTACACAGGCCTCCAAGGCATCAAACTTCTTATCTTAATTTCTTTCCTTATTTCTATTGTTGAATGATTTCATTGTAGCCTTAGCATTTTCAAACTCATGTTGATGCTGAACTTCAAAGTTTTCTCGTTTAAGGTGATAACCACAGGACCCCTACACTGTATCAGCAAGCTGCACATATTTACTACAAGACCTTACCATATAAAAGAAAAAAAGCGCAGTCATCTAAATGTAGTTCAAGCAGAACAGATTTAAGCAAAAAGCCCAATATGACTAAACCTTTGTCAAAGGAAAGGAAGCAAGTATAGCTCCTAGTTCAGGTTCACATCACTACTTGGGAAAGCAGTAAGAATACATCAAAAATTACCTACTGATTGCACTTCTATGATTTACTACTATGCTTCAATGTAATTCAGTTTTATCTTCACCAGTACACAACTGACATAAGCATACGGACTTGAATTCCATTTCATTCATAATGTTTTAGTAGGACAATATGAAATGTTAGAGAATTAATTTATTTTTCAATTGCAGAATAAGTTATTTTGAAGCACATTTGGTCACAAAAGTGTTGAGTAACTCCAGCACAGTGTCCTGAAACACTGAGGAACTGATCTTCAGAACAGGTTATGCTGCCAATTTCAAATCAGCCAATTCCTAATAGTCAACTCATCACAACACAATGTCCAGTTGTCTAAACAGTCCAAGTTACTTTGTGAATGCAGCTTTGTAATATCCCAGATGCAATTTCACGTGTATCTACATAGAAGATATATGCTGTAAGCACAAATTCAAATAAGGATTGGAGAGACTGACTTTCCTTTCCCTTTCCTTCTTTTCACCAGTGGAACAAGCTACAAAACCAGAATTTGTCTGCAACCATGCCCTCCACTCTGCATGCCCAAATTCAAATAGCAGGTACTTACAAAATATACATTTTTTCCAACCTACCTTTGAATGGTATTCCAAAGCATCCAGTTCACCTTGGTTGAATACACATTTCCTTTTACGTTTCTGCAGAATTAGCAAAAACCAACAACACCAAAATCCGTATCACTCCACAATGAAATAAAAGGCGAAAAGAAATCAAACATACCTGAATTACAAATGAACTCTTTAAAAGCAGAAGAAAGTTTCCATCTATTTTTCTATCACAAGTACAAGTCAAGTAAGCAAAAAGATCTGAAAATACCTAACCTGCTGCAGACTTTCACAAGGTACATAGGCTTAAAGCTGTTTTAAATTATTCATGGCATTAGGATCTGAAGGTACCTAGTGCACAGTTTGTGCTCATGCCTCCTGTGGGCCCATACTAAAAGTTTCAGCTGCCAAGTGCAATTTACCAATAAAAGAAAAAAATTAACTATGTCTTCATGATTACATTTATTGGTTTAGACCAGTGACTCTTAGTTTCTTTTGTCCATATGGAACAGTAGTGAACAACACTGAAAGTAAATTCATACTGTCCTTCCCAAATTGCTAATCTGCACAATCTCAGCAGATACCACATCTTCAGACTGTGTACCTGACCACAACCAGTGTCAGGACATTTCAGGAGCAATCCACTGCTTATGAGACACAGAATGCACATTACTGACATGAGGGACACAGGAATATTCTCAAAAGTTCCCACTCTTCTACACTACCTAAAAAGACTTAGGTATGCAAAACAACATTAGTAGTATATTATTTATCAAGAGATTACTGTAATTTATTATTTTACAGATAACATACCTTCCTAGCAGTGGCAAGAGAATCCCCAATGTCACTCTTTGCTCCTTCTTGGTATTCCTCTTTGTTGCTGTTGGTCTTTATTTCTGTCAGACTCACCTCAGGGCATCCCTGACACAGCTGCTCCTCAGGAGCTGCAGCTATATGGGGCTCAGAAATATCAAAGAACTCCTCCCGAAACACATATCTCTTTTTTGCTCGTTTACCTTCTGTTTCTAGGGCATTTCCAGGACCGTAAGAAGGACCGTCGCTTGATGAGGGGGTGGCAGCAAAAGCAGAAATACTGTGACAGTCTTCAGTAGATGTGACAGAAGTATTGTGAGTGACACCACCATGGTGTGCAAAGGAGTCACAGATCTCATAGCCACAGTGATTGATGAAAGAGAGATGATCCACAAGCCATCCCGCTGTCAGACGATGTACCACAGACATCGCAAGTCCCCTTTTCAGGCCAAAAAATCAGCTCCCTGAAACCACAGCCTTCACCAACCATTTGCCCTTCCTGGAGCAACCTCCTCCTGTGGGAATTTTTATAAGAATTCACTTTACAGAATTATCACTGTTTCATAAATTAGCACCTACCTTCTGACAGACATTTCCATGCACACACAGGGCACACTGCTACAACTTCTGACTTCAGGTGATTTCCCCATTATGTTCATCCCTACCACTACTTTCTTTATAGTAACTAAATTTTACACGACTTTTTATACTTTTACACGGTATGCGCTTACTCTTTGACAAGTCAGAAAACAGCCCTATGGCACACCAATTACATCTAACACTATATGACATGTGTGTATATCTATACACAGTATATACACCACATATACATGCATTTACACTCCATATCTTTACTACATACGTTACACACATGCTATATAGACTACATACATACTATATATATGCACACACTATATATACACACACGCTATACATATTCACACATAAACACACACATATACGCATATATACACGCTATATATATGTGCATACACTGTATCTACACACACACACGTATATCTATATATTTATCTATATATATATACATACAGAGACATGGATCACTAAGACAGCACCCGGGGGCACTAACACAGGCACAAGGGCAGGGGCAGCCACGGCCCCAGCGCTGCTGAGGCCGAGCGCCGACTCCCATCCCCGCGGCGGCACACCGGGACGGAGAAAAAGCTCGGGCTTTTCCCTAGGAAAACTCTCGGCGCTGGAGAAAAGCAGCGCCCGGCACACACTCACCGCGGGCACAACCAGTCGCCGTACGGCCACGGTCCTTCCGGGGGGTGGGATCCTCCTTCCCTCTCTTTCCACCGCTCCTCCTCCCTGTATTCCCAGCGCCCCTCGTCCCCGCCCGCCGCGCTGCTGGCCCGCGGCCCGGCTGTGACGCAGTTCCGTGTGACGCTCTGGGCGACGTCCGGGCGGGCGGATTTGAAATTGCGACGAGGCGGCGGCGGCGGCGGCGCTGGCGGTAACGGCAGGGCGGGGAGCGGGAGGGCAGCGGCAGCAACACCAACACCCTCACCTCTCACCTCTCACTTCTCACTCACCTTCGCCCCGGGACAAGTGTCCGTGCGGCGGCGGTGAGTCCCGGGCTGCGGACTCGCTGCTGAGTCCCCCCGGTCGCCTTCGGTAGGGTTCAGACGCGCTCTCCGGGCGAGCGGGCGGAGCTGCGCCCAGCTCTGCCGCGCTCCTATGCTTTCCTATTTTTTTTTCCCGCTGGCGGGTTGACTCTGGCAAACTGGTCTTAAATCTCTGCTCTTAGAGCGTCTCGGCTTATGTCAGCAGCAGTGCGGCCAGCAGGACCAGGGCAGTGACAGACCCCTGTACGCGGCGGCGGTGAGGCCGCGCCTCCAGTGCTGTGGCCAGTTGTGGGCCCCGCAATTCATTGAGGGGCTGGAGCGTGTTCAGGGAAGGCAGCGGAGCTGGGCAAGGGTCTGGAGCACAAGTCCTGTGAGGAGTGACTGGGGGAGCTGGTTTAGCCTGGAGAAAAGGAGGCTCTGGGGAGCCTTATCACTCTGGAGCACCTGAAAGGAGGCTGTAGCCGGGTGCGGGTCGGCCTCTTCTCCCAGGCAACAAGCGAGAGGACACGGTCTCAAACTGCACCAGGCTTTGCTGGGACACTTGGAGGAATTCCTCCACAGAAAAGGCGATTATACACTGGAATGGACTGGTGTCGTGAATGAGTGTGTTAAGCTTGCTCCAACAACCACCACACCTGCCCGGCATGGTGGTGGAGTCAGTGTCCATGGAAAGGCTGGATGTAGCACTTAGTGCCATGGTCTCGCTTACAAGGTGGTGTTTGGTCATGAGTTGGACTTGATGATCTCTCAGGTCTCTTCCAACCTAATTGATTCTGTTATTCTAGAAGCTAATTGCTTGCTATGATTGTGAAAATTCATCCTCTCTGTGGTTGGTCCCAGTTAAAGTAATGGAATAATGCAGATTCTTCCCCAGATACAGTGAGAAATGCTGCCCTATGAATTAAGCTTGAGCTAAACTTCTGTTGTGGTCTGTGAGCAGTGGAACTGGAAGCAAAATGAAGCAACAGTTTATATTAATAATATGTTTGGTGTAATATCTATAATAGAGGGTGTTTTTATCAGTTATAATTCAGTCATTTAATCCCACCCCACAAATAAAGTAGAACCTCTGTAGAGGGCAGAAGCTGGCATTTTTTTTGTGACTTAATGTTTCGTGAGTTCTGTTTACTTCAAATTCCCCCTTAATGCCACAGTGGGGACAATGATATTAATATTCCAGTTTGATTTATAGTCTGCATGCATAGTCTGAAGAGAGCCATAATATTACCTCAGAACAGGTTTTCCAGTTATTGTGCTATAATACGGGGAGATCAGTTGCATAGAAATGGGTAGGCTCAGAATGAGCAGCTCAGGAGCTGATGTATGGCTGAAGTGCTGTAAGCAGTACTTGTGTACTCGTGGTAATGTGGCCTTTTTCCCAGTGGACTGAAATGAAAAATTCTCAAGCTCTTTTGCTTTTGGAACCTGTAGGTTTGAAGTGACCAAATATAAAGAAAGGCAAAACAGTAGGTTTGGAACAAGCACTGACACTTTTATCAATAAAATGGTTGATTTAAAAGGCTGTGGCTGCTCTTATATATTTCCAGAGTCTAACAAAATCTTTTTTCTTTCTTCTTTCTTTTTGGTCTGATGTACAGGTCTACTTGTTTATTCCAACCTTTTAGAAAATCGTTGTGGCATTTAGAAAAGAAAATACCCTTAGGTCCCGGATTTTCTGATACTGCTGGAATACTGAGGGATTGTGGTTTACAGCAGTCACGATGAGGCGAAGCTCAAGTATTGCTGGAAGCAGCAGTCGACAATCTATGATGGCACTGAGAGTGCAGGATAACAACAAGATGGGTCTTCAGACACCTCAGATGTAAGTCTTGCTGGACATGTTCCTAAAAATAAGTATATACAACTAATTCTGAAGAGATTTATCATAGTGTGTTTGAGTGTGAGTAGCAACTGAGGGAAAACAATTGAAACAGTGAGAAGAAGGCTCCTTACATCCAAGGATGTTTGAACACATGCCCCAGTCTTGCAAAACTACTTGCTTTAACCTTTTTGTGTACCTGTGTCAGGTTTCAAATGGTAACACTTACATGTTTCTTAAGAGGTGGCTGGGTGCATCAGTTGACCTTTCTAAGAGGTTGCTGTGATGAAGGTGCTTAGGAATACATGAGAGAGTGTATAGCTCTTGTACGAGTAAAATATGAATTGGTGGAACTAATCACTTGAATCCTTCTCTCTGTTCTTCAGGAAGGACAGAAGCACCTTTGGGAAGCTGAGCATGACCAAATCTGCATCTGGAGCTTCAGAAAGAAAAGTCAGCTGTTTTGGGAACAGGTACGGATAGCTTTTGTTCTCTGCACTGTAAGTGTTCACTGCACTTGTTTTGTTAAAACAAAAAAGGTCCGCAGGTAATTTTGTCATTTTTCTTTCTTGATAGATTTTCATTATAGGGAATAATGGATCTGAGGCAAGCAGACCAGGTCTGCCTTCCTCCAGTCCTTGGTCACTAAACAATGCTGTGGAGCAGGAATTGCTTTGGGAGCTGTTTTTTTTTTTTATTAGTTTGGGAATGATGTGCACTGCAGATCTTAAGAGTATCTCAATACATTTCTTGTTTAAGGAAGAATGACATCTGAAGTGTACTCTGTGTTAGTTTCCTCTCTCTAAGATACAAACCTTCCAAAAATCTATAATCTTTCTGCTTACCCACAACACAGAAAGTCATGAGCTATCTTCTTTGATAGTACCCCAATGTTGTAGGGGTCTATTCCTTTTAAATATTCCTTAAATATTTTAGAGTTTATTTACAGTTGCCAACATGATTTTTTCTTCATCTTTGGGGTATTTTTCTGCTCTCTAAAAGTTTATTTCTTTCCATAAAATGAAGTAAGTATTCATCTAGGATGCAGTAATCCTTTTGTTGTACATGTGGCATCGTAGCTTCCAGGTTGATGATGTCTTTCCAATGACCTTAAATGAACAGAAAACTTCAAGTATCACTTTGTATTACAAATGCAAAGAAAACATAAACATAGCAGTTGTTGTGACTTAAACATGAAGAGAGTTCTTCTTTATAGGTATTGTCACAAGACCTGTATTTATTGTCTGTCCTTAGAGCGAGTGGGGCTGGAGGGTCGCGCAGCAGCCAGTTCGGTGTGTTTGGGACAGAAAAGATAAAGGATCCCAGGCCCCTTCATGACAAGGCATTCATCCAGCAATGTATCAAGAAGCTTTGTGAGGTAACATATTAACTTATTCTGCATTTATGTTATGAAGTGTAAAATGTGCTAATCAAAATGGTTATTTCCCTTGGTTTCAACTATAAATTTTATTTAGTGACTGGTATTCTGTGTTTTGTTTACACAGTTCCTTGTTGAGAATGCTTATGCCCACAATGTTTCCATGAAATCACTACAGTCTCCATCAGTTAAGGACTTTTTAAAGATCTTCACCTTTATCTATAAATTCCTCTGCCCTTCTTATGAGCTGCCTGACTCAAAATTTGAAGAGGAGATTCCCAAAGTTTTTAAAGACCTTGGGTAAGATGATTATTGTTAGTCTCCTGGGCTGAATAGATATGCTATGGCTAGAAATTTAAAAGCTAAGAATTCTGCATTGATAGCTGGGGAGAATGGATAGATTTCTTTATTCAGATGAGATTTTCTTTAGCTCTAGGTTTACTCTCTTGTATTCAGTGTCTGCTATACATTTTATATTTGAACTTGCACAACTATAAGCTCTTGGAATCTTGCTTTGTAATGTAAAATTTAATTGAATATTTATATAGAACTTTGAAAGACAAGACACAATTTTCTTTTACAGACCTTTCTGTTCATTCTGTTAGAATCTAAGAACTGAAATTTCCAGAATTTTGGATCAAGACAATTAAATTTCATTTTAGTTTAAATAAATTTAATTTAGTTTAAAATATGTTTTCCTGCCATTTTTCTCATTCTGCTTTCAAAGCAGAATGTGGAAATAACAAAAATTACCGTTGAGGTGGGAAAAATGCTAAGTAGCTGAGTGGTTTATTGCTGAATTTGTTCAGTGTTTGAAATCATTGATGCCCCAATGCTTTCCAAGAAAGAAAATCCTCTGACTGTTGATAACTGTGAATTTTCAGTCTCATTAAAAAAAAAAGGGAGCATATTTTACTGCTGTAGATTTGAACCTATGATGGAGTCAAAGTGCCAGGGCTCCTTAAATGTTGGTGTAAATCTTTTTTGTTCACTTCTCAGCATTTTAATAAAATTTTGTTTTAATCTATAACATTTGAAACTGCTGACATAGCTTGAAATGTTGAAAAGGATTACACTCTGCTCCACCAAGAGTGTAATTCTGGATAAAAAGACTAATTCTGGCAAGTCACTTGAAGTTTTGGGAGTTCAAGGAACATCTGGACAACACTCTTGATCATATTATTTAGTTGTAAGCAGTCCTATGAGGAGCAAGGAGTTGGATTTGTTGATCCTTACGAATCCCTTTCAAACCAAGATATTCTATGAATCACAAAACGAGAAATCCATGATAATTGAATAAAATAGTACTGGAAGAACGCAACTTGTTTCCTTTGAAGTACAGTACAATTGAGTTTGCTCTTCCTTCTGTGCTTTCATCTACATATAAAAATGTGCTGGTTTGTTTTCATCACTGCCACAGCTATTAAAATGCATCTTCTTTGG